TTGAATCCTCTTAGCCTTTTGGATATAGTGGCTGACAACCGTTTACATAATTAATGACAGTCATAGAAGTACTCTCCAAGTCAAGCAATGTTTCTTGCCTCGTTGCTTGATATAGTCTCAATGGTCAAAGGCAGATGGTGACAGCGTATTTCATCCTGTGTTAGCATCTCCTTGTTGGCAGTGTACTTTGTAGTCCCGGTGTAATCATTATATGTCAGCTCATAAGTGTTATCAAGTGCAACTAATGGGGAAGTGTTACTCAGGATAGTTTAGTGTTCCATTATAGTGGTGTTCCATTATAGTGGTACATTTTAGTGGCGGGGTTTTACAATAGAGTGGTGTTACACACCCACTCTGGAAGTGGTGGGGGGGGATGGAGGGGATATTGGAGTGATTGTAGCCTCCAGCAGAGGGGTTACAATCAGTCCTCCTCCTCCCAGCAGAGAGGGTTACAATCAGCCCCCTCCCAGCAGAGAGGGTTACAATCAGTCCCCTCTCCTCCCACCACAGGGACAACAATCAACCCCTCCCCCCAGCAGAGGGGGGCGCTACACAATCACCCCCCCCCCCCTCACTCCAGCCATCAAGAAAGTCCAGCCTCTATTTTTATTACACAATGCTTCCCATTTTGTTCAGTGGTTATAGGGCGAGTCAAATATGGAGGTGGCTGTCTCGCAGCCTTCCCGGCTCGTATTAAATCTAACGTTATAATCTAGCCTTTGTATCGACCTTAAGACTTATTCCCCTACATTAATTGTTTCATTTATCACATCCCTTAATCACGCGGGCAACGTACTATCCATTGTTGGAGAGATGGAGGGAGGGGGGGGGGTTAGGGGTTGTTTTGGGGGGGTGGGGGGGAAGAGGGGGTTGATGGGTGCCCTCATTTACATATAGCGAGGATGATGTACGATAACAAGGACAATGGGCAGTCTTGGCATTGCGCGCATCTGCCTGACGTATGACGCGCCCAGCCTTTTGTAATGTTCTCGCCGCTGCCAGGCGTAGAGCGTCGTCCAGTGACGTCCTCTGTTGCTCACGATGTCTCCTCCCCCTTCCCCCCCCCCCTCCCCTTAACGTGTTACATCCTGACGGCTGAGTGGACAGCGTTCGGGATTCGTAGTCCTGAGGGTCTGGGTTTTTATCCCCGGCGGAGGCGGAAATAAATAGGTTAGAGTTTATTTCACCCTGATGAGTCTGTTTACGTAGAGGTAAGTAGGTTCCTGGGAGTTAGATAGCTGCTACGGGCTGCTTCCTGGGGGGAGGGGGGTGTAACAAAATGGAGGCCTGGTCGAGGACGGGGACGCTAACCCCGAAATAATCTCAAGATACCCTCAAGATAACATCAAGATAACCTCAAGATAACCCCCTCCACTCCTATACACACTGGACTCTTATAATTTTATATCACGTTCAAGAATACAAAAGCCTTCACTTTGACTAAACACATTATCAACATACAAGCATTTATGTTCAGAATAAGTTATATGTAGAACCAATACTAATAATAACCCTCAAACAAATCTAACCAAATATCGTATATCAACCTAACATAAAATTTCAATAACGAAAAATACTCACCACACGAACAAGTATAATTTGATCAAGGGTGAAAAAAAAAATTCTCTAGAAATGAACGAACATCGTATTACAAAATTAAACCATTGCACTTATACGCAGAATATAATCTTGAAAAAAAAAATATTGCGAACACGTTAAAAAAAATAAATGTGTGAGAAAGAATAAGTTTCGTATGCACGATGAAAATGTTTTCAAAGTTGTGGCCAGAAATAGCGAAATGTTTGAGTGTGTGTCCGGCGCAGGTAAGGTCGCAGCGATGCTCTCTCACACAGCCAGTAATCACGGTGCTATTAATCTGGGATTATTTAGCGTGTGGATGCTTCGGGGGTCACCGACTGTGGTTGTGGAGTATGCAAATTGTACCCGGCAGCCCTGCACGCCAAAGACAATACCCGGGGTATACCCGGGCCTATACCCTACCTAAGGGGTTTCTCATTTTAACGTGCCCAAGGGTAGTGAGAAGTCCTCTGCACTACATGCTCAAAGGACCTCTCTACACTACAAGATTTAGCTATGCGGATATAACCACATGGAAAATTAAACATTGCTTTTCATTGCATTACCAAATTGTTAAAAAAAAGATTATTTACATATATAGAAAATAACAAACCTGCAGAGCTGAGAGCAGACAGAAGCGTCCAGATGGGGTCACTGCAACCTTGAAGGGATGGTAAACAGGGTCTTGGTCTGGGGCCGAGTACACATGTGGATCCAGTGTGGCAGATACCTATCTACACTGCCTGCCCGTCGGAAGGTGGGTGGGTGGCCCGTCACTTTCCAGTGGGACCCAGAGGACCACCAGAGGGCCGTCACTTTCCAGGGGCACCCAAAGATCCAAGAGGGTCCTCTGGTGGCCTAGAGGACCACCAGAGAGCTGTAACTTTCTAGGGAGACCCCCACAGGACCACCAGAGGGTCACCACATCACTGCATTAGGCAGTGATGTGGTGGAGGCAGACTCCATGCACAGATTCAAATGTAGAATCGTAGGGTCGTAGAATTGTAGAATCATGGGGCCTCGTAGCCTGGTGGATAGCGCGCAGGACTCGTAATTCTGTGGCGCGGGTTCGATTCCCGCACGAGGCAGAAACAAATGGGCAAAGTTTCTTTCACCCTGAATGCCCCTGTTACCTAGCAGTAAATAGGTACCTGGGAGTTAGTCAGCTGTCACGGGCTGCTTCCTGGGGGTGGAGGCCTGGTCGAGGACCGGGCCGCGGGGACACTAAAGCCCCGAAATCATCTCAAGATAACCTCAAGATAGATATGAGAGAGTCAACAGGCTCCGGAATCTGTACACTAGTTGATTAACAGTTAAGAGGCGTGACCAAAAAGTATAGGGGTCTTGGACACTATACCACCAGAAAGTATAGGGGTCTTGGACACTATACCACCAGAAAGTATTGGGGTCTTGGACACTATACCACCAGAAAGTATAGGGGTCTTGGACATGGTTTCAGGTGCGTGCCAGTCTCAGGGAAGCCTGAAACTCTTGCTCTGTCATTCCGTATAAAATCCACTCTTTTAGCCTAGCCAGAAACGTACGAACCTAAGCAACCCATCTAACCTATCGAGTCTGATGCACAGAAAACAAATTACTGTGAGCCGTTGCTTTCCTGAACACGTTGCATTTGTAGCGTTGTTTACAATTATGTAAAAACTGCGACCTCAGAGTTGAGAGGACGGAGTTGGCCCGAGACCCTCGGCTCTTTGTGTAAATATACACGAAAGTTCCAGCGCCTCAAGTGTCGTGGTCCACAAGGCGAATATGCCTTCAGTATCGTTATCACGTTCCCCACCTCTGACGAGTTAGTTTAGTTTAGTTCATTTATTATGCACCCCATACCCATCCCGTGGGCGGTAGTGGAAAGGGTTACAGAGGCACATAATGGGCTCAGAGACTGAACCCCACAATTCATTTAGCTAAGCAAGTTACAATCTTGATGAGCTAGTTACAAAATTCAATATAAGTCGTCACATCAACAATGGGTTCGAGATCGACCTCAAGTACAGGTTCTAAATTAAGCAACTGACATATGTGGAGACGAACTGGGAGAGATTCAAGAACAGTAAAGAGGCACGCCTGTGTTTTTTCTTACAAGCTGTAACATACATTACCGAAGAAATAATTACTCCATTTACAAATACCGCAATGATCTCCCCCCCTCTTCGCTAATTACACATACGCAGGAGTACCTAAGGGACAGCAAACAGAGTTACCGTCAGAGAGAAGGTTTCGGACTGGTAGGAATGTAACCATTGGGATTCCTCAAGGCTCGATACAACAGGACCACCATTACTCTTCCTAGTTTGATGTGAATGACCTTCCCAGGGGAGTGAACTTATACATATCTATGTTTTCTGATGACGTAAAGCTAACGAGGAATGTAAAAACAGAGGATGATTGCAGAAAGTTAAAGGAAGACCTTGACCTCCAGGAGCTGGCAAAAAAAATGGTTCTTATAACTCAATCACAACACTTCCAACACCAGAGGCGCACACGGACAGGGGTAACATATGGGACTTCATATGGGACGCTGCTAAACATTAGACTATCGTTTAGAAAGCTAAATTAGAACTCCTTCAAGACAATTTACACAGTAATACTTGAATATGATGCCCATAATCAGTCCATAATCAGCACCTTGTGAAGCGCAAAGCCAAAATAGAAAAAATAGAGAGGTTTGCCAAAAAAAAAAAATGATGTCGATGAAATGTAAGGAAATATTTAGACCCTGTTGGGATGGTCAAGAAGTGGAATGCACTGAAAGAAGAAGTTGTGAAAGCCACCTCCATCCATCCATCCATCCACAACTTTGAGGCCAGATTCGAACGTGGAAATGGTTACAATTTTATCCCAAAAGGGACAACACAGCCAATAGACAAGGACACGAAGCAGCCACACCCCGGGTACCCCCCCCTAGTCATTGATAGACACGGACTGGTCGGAAAGTACACCCCCCACACACCCACAACCACACACACACAACCTGCACACACACCCACCTACCAACAACCACACACACAACCTGCACACACACCCACCTACCAACAACCACACACACAACCTGCACACACACCCACCTACCAACAACCACACACACAACCTGCACACACCCACCTACCAACAACCACACACCCACAACCACACACACCCACCTACCAACAACCACACACACAACCTGCACACACCCACCTACCAACAACCACACACCCACCTACCAACAACCACACACCCACAACCACACACACCCACCTACCAACAACCACACACCCACCTACCAACAACCACACACCCACAACCACACACACCACCTACCAACAACCACACACCCACCTACCAACAACCACACACCCACCTACCAACAACCACACACCCACAACCACACACACCCACCTACCAACAACCACACACCCACCTACCAACAACCACACACCAACTCCACCTTCATATTTTCCTAAATAGGACGCGAAGGCTTTCACACTCAAGGGTCTCCTCTTTATGTCCAGACCACACTTGAAAAACAAAAAAATGGAGTTTATAATCGATGGATTACAAACACCTTTCATTAACTCCATTGATGAAAGGTGTTTTGGAGCCGTCTGAGTGTGTGGGGGGGAGGGGTAGGCTAGAACTGCTCTTTCACACCTTTATGGACCTTTGTCAATAAAATATCTTGGTAGCTTAGCTCGGTGTGTTTTTATGTTTTGAATTTTTGTTTGTTTAAATTACTTGTTTGCGTGGCTATGGGGTTCAGATGTCACGGTGTCTTGTGTTTGTTAGGTGTTGTGGAGTAATACCACTTGGTCCTTACTGGAGTTTGTGCTTGGAACTGCATGGTATTAAGTATGTGTTTGTTTGTGTCTCTCTTGTTTGTCCAAGTGGTCGAGATCTCCCATCCCATCATCCCGTCTTCAAATCCTTAGCTCCTTGTCCTAAGATCCCCAGCTCCTTGTCCTCAGATCCCCCAGCTCCTTGTCCTCAGTTCCCCCAGCTCCTTGTCCTCAGTTCCCCCAGCTCCTTGTCCTCAGATCCCCCAGCTCCTTGTCCTCAGATCCCCCAGCTCCTTGTCCTCAGATCCCCAGCTCCTTGTCCTCAGATCCCCAGCTCCTTGTCCTCAGATCCCCAGCTCCTTGTCCTCAGATCCCCCAGCTCCTTGTCCTCAGATCCCCAGCTCCTTGTCCTCAGATCCCCAGCTCCTTGTCCTCAGATCCCCAGCTCCTTGTCCTCAGTTCCCCCAGCTCCTTGTCCTCAGATCCCCAGCTCCTTGTCCTCAGATCCCCCAGCTCCTTGTCCTCAGATCCCCAGCTCCTTGTCCTCAGTTCCCCCAGCTCCTTGTCCTCAGATCCCCAGCTCCTTGTCCTCAGATCCCCCAGCTCCTTGTCCTCAGTTCCCCCAGCTCCTTGTCCTCAGATCCCCAGCTCCTTGTCCTCAGATCCCCCAGCTCCTTGTCCTCAGATCCCCAGCTCCTTGTCCTCAGATCCCCCAGCTCCTTGTCGTCAATACCTTCCAAGTATTATATATCCATAATGACTTGGGGCTTTCTCCCCCATAATTACTATGTTGCTGTTTAACTGTTCTCACTATTCTCTCACTCCTCACCTCTCTCATCCTCACTCCTAGCCCCCCCTTTCCTCCCTCATCACCTCTCACTCTATCCCTGTCCCTCCCTCCCCCCCACCACTCCATACCCCCCCCCCTGGCAATGTGTTGCCGCTCACGCCATATCCTCATCGTCACACAACACAGTGTTACATGGCCAATACTCAAGTCGCGGTAATACTACAACACGCATATCCAGCCAGTGTGGGGAGGGGTTAGGGGAAGGGTTAGGGGGAGGTTAGAGGGGTTGGGGGGGGTGAGGGTCGGGGCGAGGGGTGTGGGTGGGTGGGTGGGTGGGTGTGTGTGTGTGTGTGTGTGTGTGTGTGTGTACTCACCTATATGTACTCACCTATATGTGCTTGCAGGATCGAGCATTGACTCTTGGATCCCGCCTTTCTAGCTATCGGTTGTTTACAGCAATGACTCCTGTCCCATTTCCCTATCATACCTAGTTTTAAAAGTATGAATAGTATTTGCTTCCACAACCTGTTCCCCAAGTGCATTCCATTTTTCTACTACTCTCACGCTAAAAGAAAACTTCCTAACATCTCTGTGACTCATCTGAGTTTCCAGTTTCCACCCATGTCCCCTCGTTCTGTTATTATTACGTGTGAACATTTCATCTATTTACACTTTGTCAATTCCCCTGAGTATTTTATATGTCCCTATCATATCTCCTCTCTCCCTTCTTTTCTCTAGTGTCGTAAGGTTCAGTTCCTTCAGCCGCTCTTCATATCCCATCCCTCGTAGCTCTGGGACAAGCCTCGTCGCAAACCTCTGAACCTTCTCCAGTTTCTTTATGTGTTTCTTCAGGTGGGGGCTCCATGATGGCGCGGCATACTCTAAGACGGGTCTCACGTAGGCAGTGTAAAGCGCCCTAAAAGCTTCCTCATTTAGGTTTCTGAATGAAGTTCTAATTTTCGCCAGTGTAGAGTACGCTGCTGTCGTTATCCTATTTATATGTGCCTCAGGAGTTAGATTAGGTGTCACATCCACTCCCAGGTCTCTTTCTCGAATCGTTACAGGTAGGCTGTTCCCCTTCATTGTGTACTGTCCCTTTGGTCTCCTGTCACCTGATCCCATTTCCATAACTTTACATTTACTGGTGTTAAACTCCAGTAAACTCCAGTGTGTGTGTGTGTGTGTGTGTGTGTGTGTGTGTGTGTTTGTACTCTCCTAGTTGTGCTTGCGGAGGTTGAGCTCTGGCTCTTTGGTCGGCGCGTGCGTGTGTTTATTAATTTAACTACGTGGTTTTCTCCCCCCTACGAGAAGCGAGACCCAGCACAAGAACGGCCGTCACCTCGTAGCTACCGTAACCGGTTCACGTTCCACCTCCCGCCGTTCCAGGTCTGTAGACTACTTAGTCTTGAAGCACTGAGCCACCGCCGGCCCAAGACTCCTGCTTACCCCACTCTCACTGTGTGCCAGACGAGGATTTCCTTATGTTTCTCTTGTTATTCTGTGACTCCGTCTATGCCCGCCCCTCTCTTACCTCCCTACACACACCTCATGGGGATGGGGGTAACTGGGGATGGGTGTTCCAGCAGGAATCGTTGTTTCCAAACTCTTTTTGCAATCGACTTGATGCTTGCTGGAATATTAACACCGGGGATCTCTCTACCTATCCGAGGATAGAGGATAGACCTCACGGAACTTTTCACGTCGGTCTGAAGGGAAATGCCACTAGCAACGGCGGTCTGACGGGCCTCTAGGAACGAGTCTCTCCCTCCTACACCTTTTAACGAGTAACGCCTCTAGGAACGACGGTTTAATCTTAAATAGCATAAAACTTGGGAAAACCCATTACCTGGCTTCTCCACCCACCCCAGCAGGAGAGCGGAGAGCTTCGCAGTGGGTGTAAACCAGGGAGACTGAGTTTACCTCATGCAAGTCGCACTTGTGTGGCCATTATAAGGGAAGGCGAGTATCGGTTAGGCTACAACATCCTGCATTTACAAGCAACTGACGAGTTGTGATGATTTAATATTTGATGTTAAAACGCTGAATTTAGAAACCGACTGTAGCGAGAGGTGGTGGAGCGAAGCTGTGATTACATAAACCAACAAACACATGGGGAAATGTTCTCTCTATCAAACTGTTGAATAATTAGAAATATTCAATCGTTAAAGATATATTGAAATCATAGCACTAATATTTATTTGGTACAAGCTACTAATTAGTATATATTGTGAAAAGGTCGAACAGAATAGGCTATAATTTTAATAGAATAGGCTATAATTTTAATAGAATAGGCTATAATTTTAATAGAATAGGCTATAATTTTAATAAAACGGGCTATAATTCCAACAGAAAAGGCTGTAATTCCAACAGAAAAGGCTGTAATTCCAACAAAATACTGTAATTCCAACCAAATAGGCTGTAATTCCAACAGGCTGTCATTCGAAGGGTAAATGATTATTTTTGTAAGAATTCTGACAAACAAGAATGAAACGTGTAACCAAATGATGAACCGTGTTTGGAGGTCTATTTGCTATCAAACACTGAACTCAAGGACCGCCTGGAATATATATAAAAACATTAACATAAATCTTAATACGAAACTCAGGGCTAACCCGCCCTCTGGCTTGCCCGCCCGCCCGCCCACTTGCCTGCTTGCCCGCCCGCTTACCCGCCCGGCCGCCCGCGCTTAACGCAGAAAAACAAGACGGTTGGAGAGACTTGCTTACATCACATTAAAACCTGATTTGACAATGAATAACAGAGAGGTTATAATTTGATTGTGAAGGAAGAACCAAGACTTTCTAAAATAGAACTTAGAAAATACCACAATTTCTGAGGGGGGAACGTGATTGTGATGCGATTGTTAGTCTGTGGAGTTAGCGGGTTAGCGGCTTTTAAATACAAATGAACGTTTGGTCATGGTAGCCAAGATCACTTCACTTTGACCGACGGCATGAATATACATACAGGACCATATACATATGTATACGTACACAAAAATGTATGTAAATACCGGACCACACACAACTCATCGGATGTGCAACTTTTTTTTTGGCAGGCGATCTAAAAAAAAAAAAAAAAAAAAAAATAACGACATTTGTACCCAATGAGTTGCTTGGATTCAACTCACCAGTCTCCCCGACTTCAGTTGGCATGGATCCAGTCTTCACGCCAGATTATATCACTGATACGATCAAAGACTGCTGACAGACCGGCACGAGTCTTTGAATTCAACACTCACGACGAGAAACTTTATACCCGGTACAGTCGGGCTCACCATAGCCCGTGCTGCTTGGAACTGTTCGTTCCAGGTAGCGTATCTTAACCAACCGGGTACAGTCGCAATTGTTGTTGTTTTTTAATGGATAATGCTTTAATGTTCCCGTCTGTTCTATCTCTACGTCACCTATCCATGCTCAAAGTTTAGTTATATCTGCCATTGTGACCGCCTCTCTACTTCCTCCCTTGCATCGTGGCTAGGCGAGTCCTTGCCATATATTGGAGAAGCCTAACCAGATTCTAGAGGGACCTCTAGATATAAGGAGACCTGATCGGGGACCGGGCCGCGGGGACGTTGAGCCTCGAAATCATCGAAAGGTAACCTGGTTAGATTCTGGAGACACCAGCCAGATTCTGCAAAATCTTACCAAGTTTCTAGAGTGACTTTGTCAGATTCTGGAGAGTAATAGCCAGATTTTGAGAGTTCTAGCAAGGATTTGTGGAAATATGGCGAGAGTCCTCGAATCCTAGCGAGGATTTGTGGAAATATGGCGAGAGTCCTCGAATCCTAGCGAGGATTTGTGGAAATATGGCGAGAGTCCTCGAATCATAGCGAGGATTTGTGGAAACATGGCGAGAATCCTCGAATCATAGCGAGGATTTGAGGAAATATGGCGAGATTCCTCGAATCCAAGCGAGGATTTGTGGAAATATGGCGAGAGTCCTCGAATCCTAGCGAGGATTTGTGGAAATATGGCGAGATTCCTCGAATCCTAGCGAAGGCTAGTAGAGTACTAGCTCCTCTAAGCAAATCCTTGCAAGACCTGCTGGAATCGTACCGATTAAACAAGGCACTGAACCTAATTACAAAAAGGTTTCTTAGGAAGTATTTCCTTATTAAACCTTACACGTAGACTAACAATGCTAATTTTAATTCATATTGGCGGGGACTGGAAGCCTGTGTATATGTATAATTTAGGGTTGTATGGAGGTGCCCCCCCCCCCCAAAGTCGAACAGCTGACTTTCCCCAGGATGCAGTTAGGTGAACAGCGGCATTAGGTGAGGGGGGATAAGTGCCTGTAACCATATCCGTCTCGTCCGTGAATCGAACCTGGGATCTCCGATAGCGAGTCGATAATGAAGCACTACGAGACCCCATGTAGCAATTCAGACGTGAACTAACGTATTGTAGAGACTATTGAAAGCGACAGTTCTGCTTTTTCTTCACCGTTACCGCTTTGAAAACATAGGAATCAGTAATCAGTGCTATACTCATAAAGTTACTGGATTTAAGTTTACTGGTTCCAGTAATAAAAAGATACTTAGGTTGTCAGCCTATTGGTACGGTTTGGTACGAGGCATTAAAAACCTCATTAAATCCACCAAAATGCCTAGTCCACATAAACCTTAAAGATTGTCTGTAATCCAGTTTACAATATCAACTTTCTAGGTAAACTAAGGGAGAAAGCGCCGTCAGTATATGACTCCAGCTCTTGGAAGGAATATGAGACAGACTAAGAGTTGGGATATGAGCCAGACTAAGAACTGGGATATGAAGACAGAGTGAAGGAACAATAGTGAACCTCTCGAACCATCGGAGATCGACCGCCAGGTTCCCAGAGTGCTCATACTGGTCTTGTATTTATTATAAGCTTCCCAGACGCTCCTCTGCCAGACTTCATACACCAATGGACCGCTATTTATGTTGCAATACTTCCCCGCCGCCGCCCACTTCGCTACGGAGTTTGCCGATATTGGTTTCTTTTGTCTGTTATCGGAAGAATTCATATTTTAGCCTTCGAGTTAGGTTGCCTTTTTTCCTCAAGATGCAGAAGAAATGATTGCAAAACAAAAATAGTACCAGAACACTCTCCTTTGACAATTTAATTGAAAAAATATACAAATTTTTTTATCACTAATCATCAAATGAAATATATGGTTATCTAAGTCACTATGGCAGCTTAAGGTCAAGTGAGTGGCAGGAACAACAGTGCGACATATTTGTAAGGTAAGGTCAGATAAGGTAGTGTAAAAGATAGGTTAGGTAAGGATTAGTTAAGTTACGTAAGGATTGGTTAAGTTCAGTAAGATTAGGTTTGTTTCAAGAGTAGGAATGACATAGAATGTCCATGTTTTGGCTTCAGTATCCACTGCAGTAGCGGCAGCCTTCAGACCCCCCTACCAACGCCTGAAGAACTAAGTCTTACCTTCAAGATGATAAGGCATGCCAACATTTTTTTGTTCCCCCGAAGCATTCTTGGAACGCGCTCCTAATTACCATCCCAAATATGCAAAGTCTTCCATCAGACTTTCATATGAGCTACAGATAACCTTTCAACGAGCAAAAATCCACACCTCTTATTCTTCATTTAGTCATACAAATGTCTCCATTGCTGGAACCTCAGTTACGCGCCAAAAACCGCCATCTTTGTGCTAGCGTTTCAGCGCGGGAATCTATTCACAGGCAAAATAATAAGATTCCCGCTTTAATAAGCGCTACTGAATGTAATTTGAATGTCAATAAGACTGTTTTACATCTGAAGCTAATCATGGGTGAAAATGTTTGACGCCCTGTTTAGGGAGAGAGAAAAAACTATGAGGATCGGGAAGATCTGACCGGATGGTGTGCGGGCTCGAGGCCAGTCTGAAAGGACGCCGCCATGACAGCAGGTCTTGCTCGTGCCTCACTCAAGTGGTTCATGCACTAACAGCTATTACGAAATTTATACTATATATATATATATATATAATACACACACACACACACCTTCCAACACCGTCATATTCAGAATCCAGTTCTGTAACAACAGCCTATGTCACTGAAGTGAACAGCACCAATGACAGACTCTGGCGGGTAAAATGGGGAATTGTTGGTACTGAAAGGTGCAGCGAATCGGCCTCCTCCCTCCCTCCCTCCCTCCCTCTCTCTCTCTCTCTCTCTCTCTGTACGTGTGAAAAAATTAAGATTGAGATTATGAGAACAAGAAAAAAAAGAGAAAGAGGTTTGTGATTGACGCAGGCGGGGGGGGGGGGGGGAGAGGAGAGAGAAGACGAGAGAAAGGGGGGGGGAAGAGGGATGCTGGGGGTGGAGGAGCACATAATAGTATGCAGACACACGCCCACCCATCCTCATCCCCTTGTGTAGAGGGCCAGGTCACCAGGCACACCTCACCACACCCATGTATAACACACACACACACACACACACACACGTGTGTTGACACCTGTGCCAACTGACACCTGAGTGAACTGCACCTCACGTCGCTGGAAGACCGAAGAGCTCGGGAAGACATGATCAAGACATACAAAATTTTCAGGGGGATTGAAAGGGTAGACAAGGATGGATTATTTAATACGCGTGGTACATACACAGGGGGACACAGGTGGAAGCTGAGTACCCAAATGAGACACAGAGACATTAGAAAGAACTTTTTCAGTGTCAGAGTAGTTAGTAAATGGAATGCACTAGGAAGTGATGTGGTGGAGGCTGACTCCATACACAGTTTCAAATGTAGATATGATGGAGCTTGAGAAGCTCAGGAATCTGTACACCAGTAGATTGACGGTTGAAAGGCGGGACCACAGAGCGAGAGCTCAATCTCCGCAAGCGCGCGCGCACGCGCGCGCACACACACACACGCGCACACAAACAAGCAGGAAGGAAGCACGTGACATACCAATATACCATAATGGTTCACAGACAAGATCCACTCAACCACAGACCAGTAGGCGCTAACAAAGCACGCCATACAAAGTGCCCGTTAAAATAATAATGAAGATATAGAGACTATAACGGCACGAGATAATTCACCTTACACAACAACCACACCCAGAAAGGGTAGGTGAACTGCATATTACTAGACTTCCAGATAGCATTTGACACTGTCAACAGAATTGGTTTCCCCATTATCAAGGACAGGAAGTTTGTTGGGATTATCGAGGGTCAACCTACTGACCTTATCCACGATGCGACCCATGACCTTTGACCCCTAACGAGAATTAAACCCGATGATATTTTCGATTGTGAACTGATTACGTTTACCACTGCGCCACGGGAGGTCAATTCCATTACTTCTTGGCGAGGCAGCGCCTGCTTACAACTATATTACCTCTACCAAACACTAATTCATACACATGTCTCACCTACGCTTGAAACACTCCAGCCCACTCAATTCCATTCATTGGCTCGCGGAACCAATCTGGTAATTGGTTCCACAAGTCAACAACCCTATTTCTAAAACCAGTATTTACCCAGGTCCTTTCTGAATCTAAGCTTATCCAATTTAAAAATTATCGTGAGGATTTGCTTCTTCTCACGTGAGGATATGAGTTGGGGAGTATGAGGGGAGGGGGAGTAGTATGAGGGGAGGGGGGGGGGGGAGTATGAGGGGAGGGGGAGTATGAGGGGAGGGGGAGTATGAGGGGGGGAGTATGAGGGGGGGGTATGAGGGGGGGGAGTATGAGGGGGGGGGGGAGTAGTATGAGGGGGGGAGTATGAGGGGGGGAGTATGAGGGGGGGGAGTATGAGGGGGGGGGGTATGAGTATGAGGGGGGGGAGTATGAGGGGGGGAGGGGGGGGGGGGAGTATGAGGGGGGGGAGGGGGGGAGTATAGGGGGGGAGTATGAGGGGGGGGAGTATGAGGGGAGGGGGAGTATGAGGGGAGGGGGAGTATGAGGGGGGGGGAGTATGAGGGGGGGGGGAGTATGAGGGGGAGGGGGGGAGTATGAGGGGAGGGGGGAGTATGAGGGGAGGGGGGAGTATGAGGGGAGGGGGGAGTATGAGGTGGCGAATATGAGGAACAGGTGGGAACTGTGGACACTACCCACGAGGCCCCCCCCCAAAAAAAAAATATTTCCAACACCTTCCCACTAAATATAAACCTCATTACTAACAACCAACGAATTACGTTCAAGAGGTAACTGATACACCCACACTGATACCCACACTGATACCCACACTGATACACCCACACTGATACCCACACTGATACCCACACTGATACACCCACACTGATACCCACACTGATACCCACTTCCACTACCTGATCAACTGACTGACACACCTGTGCCAGCGCCAAGCTGCGGTCACCAACAGCCTGACTGATCATCAGTCAAGCAACACGTCAAATCAGAGACTGAACTTAGGTACTGATTTTTTGGGGCTACCTCAACCTAACCCCACGGCAGGTAGGTGGGTAGGTGGGTAGGTAGGTAGGTGGGTAGGTGGGTAGGTAGGTAGGTGGGTAGGTAGGTAGGTAGGTAGGTAGGTGGTAGGTGGGTAGGTGGGTAGATAGGTAGGTGGGTAGGTAGGTAGGTGGGTAGGTAGGTAGGTAGGTGGGTAGGTGGGTAGATAGGTAGGTGGGTAGGTAGGTAGGTGGGTAGGTGGGTAGGTAGGTAGGTGGTAGGTAGGTAGGTGGTAGGTGGGTAGGTGGGTAGGGTAGGTGGGTAGGTAGGTAGGTAGGTAGGTGGGTGGGTAGGTGGGTAGGGTAGGTAGGTGGGTAGTGTGAGGTAGGTAGGTAGGTGGTAGGTGGGTAGGTGGGTAGATAGGTAGGTGGGTAGGTAGGTAGGTGGGTAGGTAGGTAGGTAGGTGGGTAGGTGGGTAGATAGGTAGGTGGGTAGGTAGGTAGGTGGGTAGGTGGGTAGGTAGGTAGGTGGGTAGGTAGGTAGGTGGTAGGTAGGTGGTAGGTGGGTAGGTGGGTAGATAGGTAGGTGGGTAGGTAGGTAGGTGGGTAGGTAGGTAGGTAGGTGGGTAGGTGGGTAGATAGGTAGGTGGGTAGGTAGGTAGGTGGGTAGGTGGGTAGGTGGGTAGGTAGGTAGGTGGGTAGGTAGGTAGGTGGGTAGGTAGGTAGGTGGGTAGGTGGGTAGGTGGGTAGGTGGGTAGGTAGGTAGGTGGGTAGGTAGGTAGGTGGGTAGTGTGACGGAGTTCCCCCCCTTATAATTCTCCCACGCCTGCAGTAAGAGTCATGTCTGCTTTTCCCAAGCGTTCTCTACGTTGCAGGCTACAATTTGATATATGGGAGAGAGTGAAGTGTTCTCGGAGAGCCGAGAAATTTGTGAAATAGTGATATTTTGGCCTGTGGTTTAGGCCCCTTAGGGAGCCAAGATGGCGCTGGCCTCTCTGATCTCCCGCCAAAACCGTGTGACGTCAGTGGCACCGGATTGGTCACCGACAGCAGTGTGGCACCGGGAGCCAATGAAAACCTCCCGTGGCGAAAGTGACGTCACGAAGGAAGGGGGTCCGGCCAGCGCGCCTGGCTGACGCCATCAGTCATACACGACACGTCATAGAGGTCGGACGTGCGACGAGTGGTCCTGTCTGTCGGACAGCTGTTTCCCACTACCGTGGATTTACGCGTCATCGGAAGTTCGCCAGTACTCTGAGAAGTCTTCCCTAGTTCATGTGTTGAACCAGAAGAGGGAATTGACGGTTATTTGAGCAACAAGTGCTCCAGTCAGGTACTGTGCCAGTAGCAGTGAAGCCGTGCAGTGACGTATGTTGACGTCTGTGGCAATTCACCAGTTCGTGACAGCGTAGTGGCTGACAGAGCCACTGGGTAGCTGAGGAAGAGAGGACTATTTGGGGAAACCGAACGACTGTAGCTGAGACGTAGGCGACAGCCGTTGCTGGGAGAAGACGACGGCCAGGAGACCGACTCCAACCTTCAAGAAGTCAAGAAGGAGGACGGACCTGCAGTGAGGAGGCACGGAGACGACGCGCTAAACGGTGGGACGACGAGAGGCTCTGGTAGGACACGACGACGTGTAGTGTGGGGGCGTTCCCGACACGAGGACCAGGAGCTACATCTCGACTCTCATCGGAGGATAGGGTGAAGTAGGTGGTTCTAGTTCCCTCCCCATTCCCTTTAGTTAGCTATGTTATTTGGCTATATTTTCTAGCCTGAAGATTTTATATGTCGTGAGCAAGTCTCACCTATGTCACGGTAAAGCACCAGTGTGCTAGACAGTACTATCAAGAGTACTTGTAATATTCATGTTGATTGTTGGTGTGTACAGGCACCAGGAACCAGTGATAAATTTACTGTGTTGTGTATATCTTTCTATAGATTTTGATATGAACATATAGTGGTAAAATATATATAATATTATGCCAGTATTTGGAGGTTAGGCTATGTGCCCAGAAACTATTAATTTTCCATGTATTGATGATTGATTTATAAACCATATATATGTCTATGTTCATTCAGTGAATAATCATTTGTGAGTACAGTGAATTATTGCGTTATCGCCAACGAGAGAAAGTACTGAAAACTCCAGTGTTAATATTTCATAATATATTGTTGGATAAATAACAATGTGAAGCCATTACAGTGAATCATTATAGCATTGATTGTAGAAAAGACTGTTTGAGCCTGAGTACAGTGTAAATAAGTAATTCGGTTTATTTGTGCCAATATAGAGTGTGCGAGTTTATAGTATTATCGGAGAATTTAACGAAACAGCGAATCTAGAAAACAAGCAAAGTTCGCGCGGAGAGGCCATTGCGATCAGCTGGTTTTTGACACTTGATGAGGGGGGGAGATGTTGCCCCCTGATGATCGCATAATATCCGTGGGAATTACCAGCCGCGTCAGGATCAGTTGATTTATGATTATTGTGTGGCCTTGTGACATCTTTCATACATTTTAAGTAAAATACAAAACTATCTTAGTGTTTTTATCATTCCCTCCATTGATCTTGTGGCTATACTATACCTGTAGGCATAGAGTGATAACAATAAGTACCTGCCTGATTCCTGATCTTTGAGTGTGACCTTGCCAAGGCTACCACTGAATACACCAGTCCACTGAGGGTGTTACTGGCCACCTTAAACACCAGTTGGCGATCTTGTGTTTAACCGTAGAGCCCTATTGTTGGGGAGGGCACACGACAGTCGATGTGATCGAGTCGTGTTCTCACTCTTTCTTAATTAGAGGCCGTTAAGATTGACTGGGAGACTCTCCTGGCGTGCAGTGGCGCCGTGAGGATCGAGGGAAGACCCGCAGGGCTACGGTGAGTTACCTTGAGAGTAACTATTGCTCACCCCAGAGTAAGGGTAGAGAATAATAGAGAAGAGGAGGAAACCCCAACATTGGCGACCTTGCCAGGATATAGATCGGAGTAAAGGTTGCAGTGGTACTTGGCAGTGGTGTTAGAGATCAGGTGAAGGTTATCACTCGTAGCACAAGATGGAGGATGATAAAGTAGCGAGGTTTATTGACTCTAGAGACGAACAGGTGCTGGAAGAGTGCACCAAGGCACAGTTACAGGCTATAGCGGATCATTTTGGAATAAAGCTGAAATCTGCCCGAGTTGGTGAAAGAAGACTAGAGATAATGGCTCAGCTAAAGGCTCGAGACGAAGCTGTGGGGGAGGAACGGCCCCAAACACCTGCCAGTGAGGGTGAACACCTGAGTATTGGTGGAAGCAGCAGGGGATCCAGCGGCAGCAGGCACAGCATTAAGCTGGAAATAATGAAGCTGCAGCTGGAAGCACAGCAGCGCAAGGAAGAGCGAGAAGCAGAAGCGCAGCTGAGGAGAGAAGAGCGAGAAGCGCAGCTGAGGAGAGAAGAGCGAGAAGCGCAGCTGAGGAGAGAAGAGGCACAGCAGCGCAAAGAAGAGCGAGAAGCGCAGCAGCGCAAAGAAGAGCGAGAAGCAGAGGCACAGCTGCGCCGGGAAGAACAGGAGCGAGAGGCACAGCTGCGCCGGGAAGAACAGGAGCGAGAAGCACAGCTGCGCCGGGAAGAACAGGAGCGAGAAGCACAGACGAAGCGTGAGGAACGAGAAGCACAGCTGCGCCGGGAAGAGCAAGAACGAGAAGCACAGCTACGCAGGGAAGAACGAGAGCAAGAAGTTAGGCTGAGACAAATGGAAATAGAAGCCAACCAGGAGGTGGAGCTGAAGCGAGCTGAACTGGGACTAGGTGCCCCTGCCCCGCCACAGGAAGACCGACGAGTGAGGGAACGAGACCTGCCGGTCTT